CACCATGGATGTCACGTTTTTTGAAGATAAACCATTCTTTCCCAATTTTGCAATCCAGGGGGAGTATGACACTCATGAATTACAAAATTGGGATTGGTCAGCCCTCCTTGAGTCAAATCCAAGTACATCTCATCCACAAGAATCATCACACTCACCTAACTCATCATCTGAAATAAATCCACCACATTCACCCGAAACAAGTCCATCTTCTGTGATCTATCCTAAACATCTCAATCTCCCTGATGAAGCAATAAAAGTTTACACAAGAAGAAACATACCTCAGCAACCCGAACGGAGCCAACAAAGTCAAGAGACTTTCCCAAGTTCAATTGATCCTGAAAGGTCACAAAATGAGGCAGGTTTCAGTCCACAGTCAAGTTCTGAAAAGGTGGCAGAGAGTGATCCAAAATTAGATCTGCCTATTGCTAAAAGAAAAGGCGTTCGATCATGTACTCAACACCCACTTCATAGCTACATCTCCTATTCAAACCTATCACAGAAATTCCTATCTTTTGTGACTTCTTTGGATAAAACCATGATTCCTGGTTCAGTTTGTGAAGCCCTGAAGGTCCCTAAATGGCAAACAACAACCTTAGATGAGTACAATGCACTTGAGAAAAATGGCACATGGGTCCTAGCATCATTACCACCTTGTAAGAAAACTGTGGGATGTAAATGGATATTTTCAGTAAAGCAGAAGGCTGATGGGAGCATTGATAGATATAAGGCTCGGTTAGTAGCTAGAGGGTTCACTCAATCTTTTGGAATTTATTATCAGGAGACCTTTGCTCCTGTAGCCAAACTTAATACAGTACGTGTCCTATTATCCATTGCTGTCAATCAAGACTGGCCTCTATTTCAGCTTGATGTGAAAAATGCCTTCCTAAATGGGGACCTAGTTGAGGAAGTCTATTTGGATATACCAGCTGGTTTTGAAACTGAGCAAACAAGGGGAAAGGTGTGCAAACTGCAAAAGGCCTTGTATGGGCTCAAACAATCACCCAGAGCATGGTTTGACAGGTTCACCAAGGTGCTCAAACAAGATGGTTACTCACAGTCTCAAGCAGATCACACATTGTTCATCAAACAATTCACAGATGGGAGAATCACAGTGTTGATTGTCTATGTTGATGATATAGTTCTGACCGGGAATCACGAGGGAGAGATGAGAAGACTTAAGATTCTACTATCCAAGGAATTTGAAATCAAATACCTCGGACATCTAAGATATTTTTTGGGAATGGAGGTGGCCAGGTCAAGTAGAGGAATTTCAGTCTCACAACGCAAGTATGTTTTGGATCTTCTGTACGAAATCGGTATGAGTGGTTGCAAGCCGGTTGAGACTCCTATGGACCCTAATACCAAATTGATGCCTCGGACTGAAGAGTTAGCAACGGATAAGGGACAGTATCAACGCATGGTGGGGACGTTGATATATTTGACACGCGCTCGGATATAAGCTTTGCAGTCAGTATTGTTAGCCAGTTCCTGAGTAATGTTCAGGTATCTTAGGTATCTTAAAAAGGATCCTTGAAAGGGGTTAATGTTCAGGAAAACACTTAATCAATCCCTTGAAATTTACACAGATGCAGATTGGGCCGGGTCCCCTATTGACCGAAAGTCTACATCTGGGTACTGTTCATTTGTTTGGGGAAACTTGGTGACTTGGAGAAGCAAAAAAACAGTAGGTGGTAGCCCGCAGCAGTGCCGAGGCCGAGTTTCGAGCATTAGCTCAGGGTATATGTGAAGGAATTTGGCTAAATCGACTAATAGGTGAACTCAAGATTGGAACTTCAAATCCTATTAAGATGATGTGTGATAGCCAATCAGCAATTGCAATTCCAATTCAGCAATTGCAATTGCAATTGCCAACAACCCGATTCATCACGACAGAACGAAGCATGTTGAGATCGATAGGCACTTCA